AAATGCAAAAACACGTGCGAGGGGTGCGGATTAGTCAAACACAGTGAACCACAGCAATCATACCAAGGAAGGTGCCAAAAATACAGCATTTTCAATCACAGGAAAATTTGTGGAGAAAAGCAACTTGAGGGAGGAGTTTCCTAAAATTCAAGAGTATCGACGAGGCAGAATTTTAGCAAAACATGTATGAACAGTCTCCGGGGTAAATTTAGAAGCAATTTTGAACATGGACTTGACGCATTTGATATCTGGAGAACCGACCAGGTCCAGACCTGATGTAATTGGGTACATAACCATGTATGTGGTTGTATATGCGACTTGCAAACCTTTGGATATTTGCCATGCAGCTACTCTATAGGGTAATTTAGCAACATTGTAAGACGCGTTTAGTGGGTAGGTTATAAGATGAGTGCTGGGTGTCGACAGGCCACTCAATGCAGTGCTGTTAAAAGGATTATAGCGAACAGGTACTTGGAGCGTGAGCAAAGCAGAAACAAGGCCATTGACTATCAATTGCACTAATGTAGCTACCAAACCATTTACTACTTCAACAATTGAAAGTATCATCCCAGCATGAACACTTGCATTTCTTTGACCAAAGAACTCCACTCTTGTTCCGACCGTTGTTGCTGCAGTGCTACCGAGATATTCTGGAATAGTTATTATGTTGCGAATACTGAAGATGCTTCTCAGCTTTCCCAAAAGGATGACCAGATTCTCGATACTGAATATTTTTAGAAGCATACTAACCGTTCCACTGGCGTCAGTAAGTTTGGTGGTACCGGATCCGGTTCCCCATGAGAAGAAATCAGTTGATCTGTCGTATGAAGAGTTAGCATCATTTCGGGTAGTTGTCTCTGAAGCACCGCCTTGAGAGTAGATCTGAAAAGAAAATCCAATAGCTGCATTAAGAGCATGATCTGGAAGGCATCAATTGTACACAGAATATGAAAAGTCTCCAATGGAAATATGTATACATACAATAATTACGTCTATATCATATATCCTAGAACTATAACTTAGGATAACATTAGGTTCGCAAAGGATCCTTTCTACCAGCTGGTTCATGGCCAAACCTATTGGCATTTATCTTTCTCGGATTATCCGTACCAATTTACAATTGAGTCTATTAATAAGATAATTTATTCATCAGACTCTTGCTCGAGATTAGAACCCCTAACCACTATTGTTCAAAGCTTTAACCAACTGGAACCCCATAAATGACTTTAAATTCTTTATTTGAATACGATATAAGAATAAAGCTTATATACTTACTTTGAGGGTTTTTCCTGGTTGGAGTTTCTCACCATCTAAGAATCTGTAGATCATTGGCTTATTTGAAGAGCTCATTTGTCTGGTTATTGTCCATCCGGTCAAATCTTGAACCTGTAATCAAATTTGAATGAAGATTTAATAACGTTTTTTTCTATCTATATTGAATGCAAACGATACATCAAGAACCAAACTGGTTGCCGTTAAACACGAAATTTTGAATGATCAAGAACCTACAGCTACATAAGAATGAAAACTTGATATTCTCGAACAGTACGATAATATTTTAAAAACTATATTCTCATCGACAAGAGATCATCGTATGTTATCAATTCACATTTCGGATATAAAATCTTCATCAGCTGGAAATGGGATTCAAATTTCAATATTTGGACTAAAGCAAGCTCATTAATGCAAATGACAGGAAATATCGACGATCCAATTCAAAGCAAAATTTTTGTCGCCATATGAATCATCATTTAAATTGAAAATGCAGCAAACAATTACCTTAGCATTATTTCCTTTGCCGGTGTTTTCTACGCTGACGTATTTACCGTCATGTGAAGCGTCACCGAATCCAACTGGTCCTCGTGCAGATCTTGAGACGGTCAATTTTCCTGTGGATTCACTCAAACCTGGAAAGAGTACAGAGATCGTGTATTTTTGATTATTGATTGAACCAAAGATGAAATTTGGAACTATCTGACATGAAAACACAAAAAAGGCTAGATTTTGAATTCAAATGAAACAATCAAATTGTTAAAAATGATACTAGAAAGACTATGACTTCGTGTTTGCAAAAAAACTTATTGCAACAATCAAGAAAAACAAGAAAAACAAAATGGCTACCATGAAATTTGAAATTGATCCAACCAATGAAATTCGTCTAAATGTACAAATGAAACTAAATGCATATCAAAACTAGAAACTTTCCTAACAACTATATAGGATACCATTCCTAGAAATGTCGTTATATTGCTGGTAAAGCCATAAAATGAATTGAAATATTATCTAGATCACGTGATAACAAAATGGCCACCAACTGCCCTGACAGAAAATCACGTAAAATAGTAATTGGACCTGACAACAATTCAATGATATTTCTATATAGATTGACAATAAGTGTGTTGTTGACTCAGTAGATCTTTGTAAACAAGACTTCACCAATTTATTGACCTTTATATAACAACTGCCGAAATGAATACGCCTTTTGAACTCAAATATTGTAGTCTTGGTTTTCCAGACAATTTAGATAAGAATCACCCACCATTATGAAAACTTTTTTTTGTTTTTTGCTAATTCTTTTGGACGACATTTAATGGTTATTTCAATTTTGAACACAGTACATCAAGATAAAGACCCAATAATAAAATTGAATGCCCTGCACCTAATAATCTTTTCAAGTGGATTATGAAAGATAATCCGTTTTCAAAAGAAATAAAAATCTTTATGAACTAAGCCTATGCAAAAGGTACTTGAAAAATTACAAAAGCCATGCGTATCAAAGAAAAATCTATACCAAAGAGCAATCTAAAATCAAAGTAATGTCTGCAAGAAGTCTAGGACTAGAGACTAAAAGATCTAGACTAAAACGTGTTAACAACATGATCAAGCTATAAAAAAAAAGAACGAGACCGAGATAATCGAGACAAAACACATGTTTTTGAATTCCAATCATTCCATTTGAGAAGTGTGGAGGTGACGTCAGACGACTGACAAAATTTCAAATTTGATTAGATGACACCCAGGCCTATGATGGGAAAAGATTATAACTCTTCAGTCATCCGCATTAGAGCATGTCAAGTACACAATAAATCAGTATTCATCCGACATTTATATTTGCATTTTCTCAGGAGGTTACACATAGTTGAGTACGCATTGACCATCCATTTGTTAGCTCGTGCTCTTTCCCGCCAAGTTTCCTCCATACTATTTCCCGCGTTTATGTGAAACGCTTGCACCCCGTTGGTCAATATAAAGCAGAGGTGCACCAGTAAAAATAGTCCCACTTTCGTATAAATATTCCCAATAAAAACATGCTATATGCAAGGATCGGATCCAATCCAGTTAGGAGAGTCATAGAGTTATATATATGCATACCAATTCCTTTGCCTTATAAGGTATAAATCTCCGCCATGTTTAAATATATATATATATAGACCAGTTACCGATAGATGGGATATATAAAGGGTATATCAGATAGAATTAAGCATTTTCATTTAAGTTCTAAATAGGCTACAAATAAAGCTTAAAATTTGAAATTGTAGATCTAAATTACATACTATAGTGAAACGACTATCTTTGGTTCATAAACGAACAAATTCCTTTCCAAAGTTGGATTTGAAAAACTAAAATCTCAATTAACATTTTGCTACTGACTTTGTTAACAAAAATGAATTTCAAAAGTGGTTCCATGAAAATATACATTAAAGTGCAAAGTGGGTTAGATTAACAAAATACTTGACAAATAGACACATTTGAATATATGTTAGTCTGTGTGGTTTGTTCACTCGTCTTTAAAAACAACATTATTAACAAATTAAAAGATACACTAAAAGCGCCACCTGAAACTTCGCTGAAACGAAATTCATACAAATGTCTAAAAAGTATCTGTAAAGTTATGCCTACAAATTTCTGCAAAAATAAGAATTTCTACCTACTAATTTCTGTAAAATCATGAATTTTTGCCTACAAATTTCTGTGAAAATACGAATTTTTGACCTTTAAATATCTGTGAAAATAAAAATTTGGACCTACAAATTTCGCAAAATCCTTAGACGAATTTCGACCTATCGGAATTTAGAAAGCCTCTCCCTTTAAATTAAAATGTTAATTCTATTCTAATAGTTAGTAAATGACAAAAGACAAAAAAATTATTTTTAATATTTATTATATGAAGTTTCCATCTTTCTATATATATATTGTATATGTATAGTTTGTTATAAGACAATAAAATTTGATCTCTCATTCATTTAAAGGGTCCCATCGGTGAAAAAATTGTAACGACTACAGACCACTTTTGATTTTAAAAATTTTGCAAATAATTTTGATGCAAATTTGGTTATGATAATATCAAAGCGATTCGATTAAGCATATAAGCATTACTAAATATATATTTTTCGATTTTCAAAATTCAGGCCCCTCGCCATTTTTTCGGCAATGGGACACTTTAAATGTTTCTAAATAAAATTAGATTTGCAGCCTGTTTAAAAACTAAATGAAGCTCTAACAAAAATAATAATTGATAATAGAAAAAAAAATGTTTGATTTTCAGGAAAATTAAAAGTAAACTCTCCAAAATAATACGTCTATCACAATTTATCCTGTATACTCTTTAAAATTGGGAAAAACACTGAAAAATACGCAAATTGGAACTCATCCAATGATACTTTTAAGGCTAATACCAATCTATTCCATCTAGGTTTAATACTAAAATTTCAAAAAAAAAACGAAAAAGTAACTAAATTTATTGGAAAGGGCTAGCTATTCCAGCCCTCCAATATTCGAACAAAAAATAACACGAATAGGAAAAACGAAAACAAGTGTTAGAAATGGTAGCCAATGAGAAAAAAAAATAAAACGAAGTGAATAAAACAAATTTAAGTTAAAGATTTCACTTCATGCAAAAAAGTTGGTTAGGAATTTGAATTAATCCAACCGCTGTCAGATGAGTAAAATTCAAAAGTCAACGGTGGTTTGCGTAGTGTAGTAGTTATAGGACAACCATACTAACTGGTCTGTTGTACGATGTCGGACAAGTTTCCTGCTCCCTTGGTTCGGGTACCAATGGCTTGTTCTACGATGCTTTTCATTCCAAGTCTGAAACAGAAACAAAACAAAAGTCAAATGGTGAAAAAAAAAAACGAAAGTCATAATTTGCCCCAAAAAATTCAACAACCCAAGAGTTAATTTCAAAGCTCAAATTGGAATATTTCTTTGTATGTGCTTAAATGTGGATACCAATAGAATTTATTTCGGCATGTACTTTGATTTCATGCGTTATATCATAGTTGAATCCATGCGAAACCTAAAAGCTCCTTCACGCTTACTGACGATTACCACTGGACATGTAAAGTGAAACAATTTTCTAATACATTTTAGCACATATTGTGACATAAAAGCTTAATTTTGAGTACAAATAAAGCAGACGTATGGAAATGAAATGAAATGAATGGAGTTTTACATCCTACGAGATAAGATGAGCTATGTTGCTTACCTGTTTTCTTCTCCTTCCAAAAGTTGTCTGTAACAAGCGATTTCTAATTCAAGTGACAGTTTAGCATCCATGATCTGTTGTAATTCAGCTAAGACGGATTCCATTTCAGCGGTCAATCGTGCTCTGTCATCTTGATGGGCAGCTTTCTCGGTAGCGAGTTCGTCTTCAGATAAGGCAAGTTTTCGTCTTAAGTCGTTTCTTTCACTTTCAAGTGCAGCAACCTGAAGGAAAAATGTAAAGTCATTAATTTCTAAAACTTGTACGAAGTTGGTTGCTGAATAAAGGACCAAGCTGTAGATGGCGAATATTTCCATGTTTGCTTTGTATTTTGAAATCTTTTTGTAACAATGCTTTTCTTTTGTATGTCTAAAAATGTTTAGATACAGACAAAATTAATAAATTTTAACAATTATAAGTTAAAAATGCAATCTTACCATGCCTTCCAAATTGGTGATTCTTGAGGCGGTGTCACCCAATTGGCTCTTTAATTTTTTGCTTTCTTCTCTAGCGTGGGTGGTTTCCATATTGTCTCGGACAGCACCACTCTGGAGTTGTCGGACCTGAATTGAAGAGAATACTTATTATTACTATTTCTAATGAAATATGCTTAACTTAAAGAACACAAGCTTTAGGCTTAGCTATGCTTTGCTAAGGGAACGTATCCATGTTCCACTCCATAGTCGACTCAAGAAAGACAACTCTTGTTTTGGATAAATCAGTCTAAACGTTAAAACAACTAGGTCCATACCTGGGATTGCATTCTCATTTCCATATCTTGTCTCATGATATCGAGTTTGTTTTCATATTCGTTCTGGATATCTCTGATAGCCTTGCTCATGCTGTTCTTCCAGAAGTCTTCCAAGTTCTGTCCCTTGATGAGGACTGGTTTCTGGCTTTCTTGTGGCATCTGCAAGAGAACATTTAAATGTATACTACTGACTTGGATATATGAGCCAGGTTTTGGCAGTTCGGCCCCTTTATTCACTAAACTAAACAAACTAAGGATGCTACTTATTTGCATATGTTAGTGTTACTTGTGGTTCAATTTAGGTTCCATGCATGATTTTTTATTTGAATTAATTAACACAGTCCTGCCTAACATCTTGTGGACTATGCTTTGACAATGTCAGCTTCCTGTGATCAGACATGGCAATGTTATGACTGCCAGTGCCCATAGAGAATTCACGTTGTTGCAGAATTGATATGATAATTACCTTGTCCAAAAGAGCCTTAAGGAAATCTACTTCTTCTTCTAGTGTGGTAGCTCTGCAATCAGCTTCAATATGGGCAGCAGTTTCATTGTCCAAATCCTGAAATAAGAAGATGCATGTTTCATGTCAAGAACGAGAGATCGAGGTTTCTTCTTATATTCTTCCTTCGGAATCACCAACATAGATGCTACTGAGTGGTTGCAAGCTCATTAGTCATGACATCCCTTACCAATGGAGTTGACCATGCTCCTAAAACTGAGGTTGCATCAAATTTAGCCCAACTCTCTTATCATTTTTCATAGGGAAAGAATTGTTTGTAACCTCCGTGGCAATTGACCCCCATTCTTTTTATCATTTAACATTGGAAATTCTGTGCCCCCATCACACCCCACCTAATGATGAATAGCTGGTCACTGTCCCTACCCCTATTCGTGTCTTCGAGACAAATATTGTAAAAATTACTTACGGTTCTGAGAGCCATGTTCTCATCACTTCTCTTCTTCAAGAGTTCTCTAAGATGTTTGTTTTCATCTTCCAAGCTTTCGATTCTGAGTCTGAGTGTACCGAGTTCACCCTCATAGCTTCCAATCTGGGTGCTCTGGTTATCGATCTTCTGTCTCAATTCATTGTTGTGATTTTCGAGAGTCTCATTTCTGAAAAGATAAAAAAGATTGGGCACATTAGTATTGGTAAAAACATAGACACAGAGCAAGGACCAAAATTGATATTGGCAGACATGAGCACATGTTTTATGGACCATAGGAAGAATGTTTCCTGCTTAATTTCCTCAAAGGGTCAGTGTGCAAAACTTTCATTAGTGAAAACGTATGTTAACGTATATTAAATATGTATCTAGTATTTGATCAACCTGAATTCGTTTTGAAAGTGGGGATTAAATTGTTGAGTAAGCAGTTTTGGTGTTGAGTCTTATATGGCTCAATATCTTTAGTTAAAACCTTATGATTAACCTTCAACCATCAAAAGGATAGCATCTTTAAAGGCTTTACGTAAACTATGTACCACCGAAGTAGTCATTAAGGCACATTTCGAAGTGGGAGTGTGAATGGTCTGCCCAGATTCAAGCCATATGGACCGAGTGCCTCTTTAAGCCGTATTTAAGAAAACAAGTTGGAATATTGTAACAGCTGTCTACAGTTTATTGTATTGTTTAAATGTCCACCACAAACTGTTCAATAATTCACAATCAATATCGTAAATAAGCCGTGAGAAAATATAACTTTGATAGTTTGCTTGTTTACAGTAAATCAAATATTATGGAGTTTTACGACTGTATATCATGGATCAGATTATGGTGACGATATTGCCCAACACTTTATTGGGGAATGTATTGGCTCTTTAAGAAATTTATTAGTTAAATTTAAATTCAAATTCAATGACATGGTGTTTTACGTCTTATTTGCATAAAAAAGAGATCAGATATTGCCTGTATAGCACTTTAAAAACACCCCATATTTACAACCAAATTGTCGTCTTTGATACGTATATTTTAAATAGAGGACCAAAAACGCTTACATTTCATAAATTCTTTGTAATACATTAACCGCCAATATTGCTTTCAATATTAGAGACGTAAACCGAATAACAAATCAACCTTTTCAACGTGGCAAATAGTAAAATTTATTATATCTCAAGCATAAAAGAACCAGGAAAAATAAATATTCATCAGGCGATATGAATATTCATAATCTGTTTCAGTTGACTGGCCTCCAGCGTTTTTAAGTTACTATGGTGATATTACTATTGAAGTGAGTCGACTGCGACATCGATTTATCTTATTTGATTGGATTTCTTTACCTGGTTGACCTCTACGAAATGTCATCGGCCGACTCATTCATTCATTCATTTATTCATTCATTTATTCATTCATTCATTCATTCATTCATTCATTCATTCATTCATAAGATACATACTATAATTGTGGGCATTTTCCATCCACAAAAAGAATAATGAATGCGCTATATTTGGGATCGTTATATGTCATTCATTCATTTTTCAATATGAGCAACAATGCATGATTTATTTTTAGGTTTTATTTTAATGATAGTCGTTTCGTTCATGCATTTTTATGAATGTCAATCTGCATTACCTCTCCTAACATGGACTGTTCCGTATAATTTTGTCTTTCTTAATTGAAATGTTTATCGTTTTAAAACTATAAATGTAACATTTTTATGCATGGCAACCTGTATAACCTCCACCAAAATGGACTTGACTTTGCATTTTAGTGGTTATCGGCAAAGTATAACTTTTGAATACATATTCGTTATTTATCGTCCATCTGTGAAATGATATATGATATATACCTCCATTCAAGTCATTTAAAAATATGTCATTGAAATTTTGATGTAACAGGTGTTTTTAATGATCTAAACTGTTATCAAATGACGCTACTTTCTCTACTATAGGCGATTGTTATACTAGGTTTATATACAGCAAAATAATATATGGTAAACGTGGCCTCTTCGAATTCGGGATAAACAGAAGTACAGAATTGCTCCAAGTGTTTAAGAGGAGTGAGCAGGATTGATACTGTTAATGCCAATACTAGTAAGAGAAAGTTTTATGGTCGGCATCTTGGGATATGGTTCAAAGTAATGGTTGCTGTTAACCAAAACAGTTACAAATGATTATGATACTTGAATTCCATTTTCGAAACACCTGATAGTATAAATCGACTGAGTTTGTCAACTTTTCACCTCATTCGTAGATGTTTACTCAAATGGTTTTCAACTTAGCAGTCATTTTCTCTTAGTATAACGACAGTACAATGCATTCTAAGTTTATTGGATACGCTATTTCATTACCATGGTTATTGATTAATGAGATGCTTCAGATTCCTGCAACGCTGTAGCCTACAACCATGTCCAGGAACCGGAAGTACCACCCACTCGGTCACCAGCCAATCAAAATTGTGGATAACCTACGCCATTAATATAATTAACCTAGTTGGGACTTGGAAGCAATAATGATGTCTATTATGGTTCAATAATGAACACATTTCCTTTCGTCAATATCACTGTGGAACTCACTTCAAGGTCTCTCAATATCAATAGTTTAACTACCTAAAGAGGTCATATTAACCTAGACTATTACATCGCTTGTATTGATTCGAATGTCCAGACGTCTCCCTCAGGAAATTGGAATCTAAAGATATAAAATGAAGACTGTTACTTAAGAACGTGCAATTTAAACGCTTTTTGGTTTCAGCTAGGGACTATCATGACGAAGAGATCAAGAAGCATACGTTATCTACCCAAAAGACCTTCGTGGTATCGACGTGGAATACTTGGTTGATACTGCTGAGAGGTCATACCCTTTCAATCCAAAAGGGCATTGGCCGTGACAGACGTGATTTAGCAGAAGACAATGCAGTGTGCAATAAGGACAGAAGACTACGGGGCCGTAGCAAGGATCCGAACAACACGTTTTAAGCCAGATTTTTCAAAGGAGTAACTGCATGCAGATCTGGCCCCACACTCAATGCCTGTAAGGTCAGCGTTGATAATTCCGATGGTCTTTTTTTTGTCAACTCCGATCTTAAGAGATCCGACCAATATTCCGTGAGTTTACAGTCAGATTTGTCTGACAAATATAGACTTTGAAATAGAACACTATCATTGATTAATTCTGACATTCCAAGTTGATTTCGGGTCAAATAAACTTCAGCGAGACATTCTAGTGTGTAACGATTTCAATTTATAACGATTCCCTTGGTAGACATTCTATCTCCTAACATCTCTTGGAACATTGAGGTTTCTCTTCATCCAAACTGTAATCGAACTGGTGCCAACACAAAATTTATATGAATATCAACAACAAAATCATTGCATCCAAACCTAAATCTGTCAAGTCCCCTCTCTCTTTTACAGGAATATTGCCTACTAGAAGGAAGGAGATCTCCAGCCTTGAAATGTAAATCAATCAAAAACCATTTTCGGATCCCCTTAACACTAACCTTCTGGATAACAAATGTACAACCCTCGGTTGTTCATGAGTTATGAGATGTCAGCATGTCCTGTCCTGCCCTGACCTGTCCTATCTAACTACACAAACCAAATTCATATCAGAGTTAAGTTAACAAACTGTTTATAAATTCAGGCGAAAATATTTTAATGAACGTACTGTTTAAACATTGAGTATATCATGGTAATGACAATATGCAAATTAGATAGACCATTGAAATACCTTATAGTAAATTTAACAAATACGACCTACACTTTACATCTAATTGCACGGTTGTAATTGTATGACCTTCTACATTTTAGTTTTGATTGCATTCCTCAATTGACCTATCGCACTATCACAATGTGTTGGTGAAAAAGTTCTTTCTCTCATTTTATGGCGGTTTGAACTCTCAATTCAATAGAGACAGTGTTTTCCTAATGCAAGGATATTTGAATTTTAGTCCATTAAGGTGCATAACTGTAGGAAGGAAAACTATAAATTCATTCATTCATTCGTTCGTTGTAACGAATTACTACTAGGCCCTTAGTACTATTCTAAAAGTGTGGCTTGTCCATGAAGACCTTAAAGAAGGACCATGTACCGTTTAACTTACTATATCTATACGGGCAAATATAGTTCTGTGTAACAATTCTTCTTGTTGTGGTGCAGAAAAGTAAGACGTAAAACTCCATTCATTTCATTTGTTGTTGTGAAGCTGTCCATACACCCCCTTTAATTTCATAAAGACAAAAATCTGGGTTTATCAGATATATGGCCCCCACACTCCTGTACAGTCATCGTGGTGTCGAGGACCTCTCTTATCACTTAGTAGGGGAGTGAAGTGACATGCATACCGGTGTCCTTGAACGCCCAAATCCTAGACAAGGTGGGTGTAGGGTTTCAGTTACCAGCCACATGTTTTTGATCTATTTATGTCCTACTGAATGTAAACGGGTAGTCATTTGACTTTAATGTTTAAAAGGGTGTGTTTGATTCGTATTTAAAAGCTTTTTAACGACACACCTATCGCATAACATCAGTATATTCCCTCTACCGTCTTTACCGAGTTACTTAAATCAAATACCACCTACTATGACATTTGGACAAGAAAAATACATATGTTTGCATATTTCAAGGAAGGTAAAAAATAAGTTCAGCTTATTTTGAGAAAACAAGCTATGTACCAAAAGAGTCCACTTACATCATTTAGGGTGATTTATTTCATAGGCTTTTAATATGATTCCTAACCCATACTCTGTTTTGCACTTAATCATGACCCCCCTCCTCCCTCTTTTTCCCCACCCCGAAATCTAACTCCTAAACACAATGTGAAAGAATGTACCCTTATTAATTGCATATTAACATTTTCCATATCGTATTACTCAGATAACTATAAATTACAATTTGTCATCGCACCTGTGCATGTAGCCCAGATCGTCCAGGATTGATTTTAATACGTTAACAGTGAATCTGGATAATGAAGACTAGTGTGTGGGATTTTTGAGTCAACTGAGAAATCGATTTTAAGTATATTGTATGTAAAATGTATGATTTTATAAGTAACCAGGTCAAATTGCATGATATTTTATTCATCCAATGTATGATGTCTAAGTTATTAGATCATATTGATTGCATATTCGGAATTTCCATATTGGGGTTCATTTTGGAGTTCTGCGGATTGAGACAAGACGTCAATTCAGCAGTTATACCAAAGGTCTATTATTCATTTGGAAGAACCAGCTCGATCTATAGAAGAGGCAAGGCCACTCGCAGAATACCTAGCTTTCTCGGAACAAAGTTGAAATTGGTATCAGAACTGTTTCATCGCCTTAGGTTTCCGACCATTAGAAAGATGTAGATCAGTAGGACAGAAAACTCTTTTACTGGATGTCAATTATAAATACACGACTGTCCAGCCTCTAATCAAATCACTGTCACGTACAAATGGTCCAAATGGTATGGATAATAAGCTTATCTTGAATTGGAAACTTATTAAGCTTCGATAGAGATCACGCTAACGTGACAGGAAAGCTAAATGGTGTTGTAATGTCCATCGTTATAGATGTAATAACATTGTGCCTTCAAATGCCTTGGGATGTTTAAGATAATCAAATATTATGATATTGCACAGATTCTAATGACGTGGCAAAATATGTGCACATTATGTAATGACATATTGCATCATTCTTGATTATCGATATGACTATAACAGATTGAAGCAATCATAACTTGCCCAAGGTGATTGTAACATCAAAGACTGATTCTTCAGATGATAATACATTACATTTTAGCCAATATGACTGGGAGCTTACACGCTAGGACAAACAAACGTCTGTCGTCATCAAATTTTTGTATTTCGGTATCATTTACGATTGTCGTAAATGTCCTCGGGTAGTTTAGTTCAATGCGTGGCGTCACCCACGTAGTCTGCCTTCTGGCACATTTGTGTAGACGCCTCTGATAATAATCTTACTATGACTCGTTGGTCATTGGCGTAAACAATCGGAAGCAACGTTCCTCGATACGACTGTCGCAATTCTTGTCGTATGTTGTAAGTCCTAAGATAAGAAAAATTCAAAATTTCTTTCAAAAAGAAATGCAGTTTTGCCTCAAAAACACTTTGACCTACATGTCATGAATATCTAAGTTCATTAGGTGCTAATTAGGTGACACGTCCATCAAAGTGATTGACATGTGATTCACGTTATCTGTCATCTTGTAACTCGATACTGAACGAGCTTTGTGGAGGTTTGACTAATATTTTTTCATATTTCAAAATTGTTATTGTTGTTAATTGTGGTTACATCACTTCCTGTTATTGAGACTTTGTAACACCATTTATACACATGGCACTTCCGGTTTCAGGTATAGAATGCTCTATAAAATCACTGAACCGTCATTTAAATGGTGCCATTAAAGGTAACACGGGGACATGATGGTACAATTTCAATTCTGAATCATCCAAGATGTTACAAAATGACACAGTCAGCTGTTATTAATATGAATAATTGGTCACCTTGAATCATGGAATGACTGTCAGGTGTCAAAATAAACAGTTTGCTATCAAGGAACATTCTTGTTATCCAATGACAAAAGTCACGTGTCAATTGGAGTCAACAGCTTTAATGAATCATTTATGTCGGTGCAAGCATGTAAGCCGACAGGTGTCGCTGCACTTCAGGGTCGTTTGCGATATTACAGATGCCTATTGGATACGCTAACGTGGACCAAGATGCTCCGAAACGACAAATTCAGGGTTTCCATATGAGTCACAAAAGGTATTCCGGATCGACAGGATGCCAAAACAGAAGTGTACACAGTTTGGCACAGAACATTGTATCAGCTAAGATAGCATTCCTAATAAACATTCATTGGTCGTGAAATCAAAGTTTGTTTAAAATATCCAATGTCAAAGATATCAAAATAACATAATTAAAATTCCAATAGAAATAATGTTTCCCACAAGTAAGTCAACTGGAAGCCGTCATAGTGTATCTTTAATTGGGCGTTAACGAAATTATCTCCCTTATGTTTGCCTAACAATAGAGTTATCGTTGATAAAGGAGATCTGAAGAAGTTTAATCAAAAACAAATATTGATTTAACGGTCACTTCTTTTACTATAGATCACTCACATTCCGGTAGATAACGAGTTCGAGTTACGTCCCCTTTTGAAATCATGCTGACTCAGGCTTTTGCTGAGGAACTCAATTTCAATGCATGGTACAAATCCTTCTAAAATGGCAAAGTTTGATCATTTCATCTTGGCTTATGCTCGAAGCATAAGCGTCATTGAAATATTATTTTCGTTTCATGAAAGTTAAAAGACAAACTTTTGAAAATTTTCTTATTATCGTATCAGTGTCAAATGTCCAAAAGAACTGAATTACCTTAACCCGTTAGCTTTATACATTGGTGTTAAGAAAGTTATGAATGACTGTATGATTATTCATGAAGGATTATTCGAACGACAAAGGGTTAACAATGGATTAGAAAGTCTATCTGGATCACAAAGGGTTAACAAGTAAAACCTTGTCAAGTACATACAAGTCAATTGTCGATTCATTGGGAATTTAATGACCTTGTGAACACTATAAAGTCTGCTATATCGGCTTAGTACTTGAGCATGTCCAAGCAAAACCACAAAAAGAAAGCAAAGCATTAGAATAGCCCAGCCAAAACATCGCAATTGATGGTTTATTTGAGCCAATATGCAGATTAAATTTGGTCTACTTCGTTCCGATATTTTTGACTATATTTGACGCATTGTTATTTTAGTCACACCATTTCAAATGTATTTACATTTACGATACATTCCGGTAATATATGACGCATTAGCACATTATAGACACCTGTAGAATAGAATATAATTTGCCAAGAGTAAAATCAAAATTTCTGAATACAACGTTTAACTGTAAACTTGATACATTTGAAGTGCCTAATCTCTTGTAAATTAAGTTATATTACGATACATTCCGGTAATATATGACTCATTAGCACATTAGAGACACCTGTTAAAGTATATTGTTTTTGTCGGGCGTAAAGAAAATATTCATTACTGAATACAATGCTTCATTCATGGTTTAAATTTGATACGTGCCCTTTAATGGGTTAATGTCAGTGTAAAATTAGCTCATTCATGTTAACCCTAGTTACGCCACGATTTCCATGCTACAAAAAAAATTGACCTTTCCGTTGACCTGAATTCAAACTTTAAATAAGTCTTTTTGTCCGAAATCTGATTTACATTTGGACATACTTGTACTATTAACTGAACACATGCTTTGTCTCTGCGATTGTGTTCCTCAACTTTTTCTTGTCCAAATGCACCGAAAGTCAGTCCTTTCATATGCGTTAAATCTCTCAAAGGGTACAAAATAGTAGGATGTAAAACTCCATTTCAGGTCAAGTCCAAACATGTCACATGATCGTTAAGGTCAATCGCCGATTCTTTTGTACACCTGACATATTTTTGAGTAAAAGTCAATAAATATTAAGCATAATTTCTCATTGAATGGACTTTTATCACCTCCTGTTGAAAGAGTTACCCAGATGTGAATTGCAAAATCAATATTTTCCAAAATGGCCGACAATTGCAGTATATATGGACGAAATTTGAAAACATGTAAAAGAATCATAGTAGAATTTTCTAATCATTTCTGATACCCAAAATTTTAAGCGATACTCGTTTGTCGCTTGCCAACATAGTGTGCGTCTGTAATGGGATTCGTACATTTCTATGAAATACATTCAAAAGAAAACGAAATTTTAACTGGAAAACGAAACAACATATTGGCCATTTTACGAAAAAAGTTTTTAAAATTTAAATGAAAAAAAAAATAATGATGTATCACTGTTAATAAATTTTGAATTGAATTGTCGTTATCCGAAATCAGTGGCCGGGGATGGTTGTTTTCTATCCATGTGTTGTAAGAAATATCACTTTGAACTGAGCATATTAATCATCACACATGGCTGCACAAAACATGTGTCATAATTCTAATGACGGTGCATAAATCATTCAAAAATTTCCTTTTTTCAAAATTTAAAACACAGCTTTTGTACGGTGCCCAATATTTTAACATATTTTTAATTTCATTTGATTTATTTTTTATCCACTTTTATGGTCTACTTCTCAATTTGGGGGGGCTGCGGCTTTAACCACATCCGTAACCTCTCAAGTCTGTCCTTTTTTTTTTAAAGCGCCGGGTATGAATCAACACCTTACGTCCCTAGATGACCTCTCACCTTTCATACGTCATATAATGTTTGATATATGGGCGTGGCTTAATCCCATATAAGGCAACAATAAATAAGTGATTGAGCGAAACCGTGACTTGCACGTCAGCAAAATAACTCGCCGGCCGGCTTTTTTTACTAGAATAGTAAACGATGTTGGATACATATTTTCTTAGCCCTTTTAAAAAATGTGAACAATTTTCTGAAACATTTCGGCAAGTTTGAGTGAATTTTACAAAAATGAAAGCGGATTAGTCTAACCTACATCATTAAAGTTGGGTTGAGCCTTTTAAAGATCCGAGTGGAATTTGAATTAAAATATTCCATTTAAAGAAAGTTTGAAGCGATTTGCCAAAGATTGATCCAATGAGTGCTATCAAATGACTTTGGTTAAGAGATTCGATGGTAATCCTCCTTTAAATCCGATTAAGTGAAAAATGATCTCCGGGTTAAGCATACAATATGGCGAAGGCATGAAAACAGGGGGTCTGAGGAAAGCTGCAATTTTCAGGAAATACACACTAGTATGAAATGTGGTGGACAAAAATTGAAAATTAAAAGTAACTTACGTGTCTTTAAGACTGTCGACTAAGTCTTGGAGTCCGGCCATTTTGGCATCATAGTTGGCCTTTTCTCCGGCTAACTCATCGATGACTCTTCGGGCCTGATTCAATTCAGTTTCGTACTGGTCACGAATTGGTTTGAAATCAGCCTGTTTCTGGTTTCTGTACACATCCAATTCTTGTTCCAACTGGGCGTTACGTGCTTCCAAAAATCGCACTTTGTCGATGTAGGAGGCAAGACGCTCGTTCAACGATTGCATTTCTTTTTTCTCATGTTCTCGCTTTCCTTTAACGTTGACAACACCTTCGTGGGACATGTTCTGGTAGGTTCCAGGAGCCATGTTCAAGAGCCCTCCACCGAAGGAGCTTCTCATGCTGTAACCGCTTGGTGTTGGATTCTTTCCAGATCGGGTGATCAAAGTGGTTCGGCCATGGATGAATCCGGAGCCACCTCGTCCGGATGAGGCAAATTCCTGTTTCTGTTGTCCTTTAGTCGACATGGTTAATGTTTCCAAAGATGGGTATCCAATGTATAAAATAAGAAAAAATGAATTCGAGTTTTTAGACTGTAGACCTTTCCTCAAGCCTTTCTCGTCGCTGACTGACAATATAGCTAGCTGTCAACTCTACACTTATACGTAGTCGTCTACCTATTCACGTCCGGGCATGCTCAGTGGCAACCAATGGACTCGTCAGACGGGTTATCGGCTAAACATAGAAATATATAATAATATATAACACTGTACAGAAAATACAAGGTGTCTTAGCTACAAAACAAGATTTATTATTACATATTTTTACCTATAATCCCTCAATTTTAAAGCCTTCAAGAGTATATGAACTATTTTTGCTGATATACTATACAAGGTCCATATAACGTCTAGGCCTATGCAACACGGTGAAATCAATCGATATTCTAAGAGAAATATTTCCACTGAATAGAAAATAGAATAGAACCGAGTACGGTAGAATCAATTTTAATTTCCTTGTTTTAAAGAAAAATGTTTCTAGATAAGGGAGGGGAGGGGGGCGTTCGATTACTCTTTCAAATCAAACCAGAATCCATTTTGCATTATCAATGAACATTAACTAAAACTTGTTCTTCTAGTGTCGAGCAAGCGAAGTCCTACGCACAAATTATGTTTTTTAAGGCCAGTAAAGTTATTGAAGCATGCAGCACAATATCATTTCTTTTAAAGCTCAAGGCCATATCTTGTTAAGGATGCAGGTATTCGCCTGCAGAAAGATTAGATGTTTATAGTATATTAAGCATTTTAGCTGTTATTCTATACTAGGCGAACTGTACTCAAGGCATGAAAGTGTTAGGAAAATGCCCAATATACTATACATTGTCAGAATATGCCTCTTTGGGTAAAATACTAGTCGAATATACGATATAAGTAATAGGCCTGCAAAGCCATGTGTAAAGACATGTGTAACTACAAGTTTTAAAGTGTATTGAGCATCAATAGTGTATGACTCATTTTTGCCGATATACTATGAGACGGTAATATAAGCACAAGGCCTAAATTCAAATACTTTTTTGTACCTAGAAAATTCACCTACGCAAGAGGTGAGATGTGAGATGGTAATATATTTGCAAAATGAAAAATAAAATGGGCTCGGAGTACGAAAATGTGTAACCTTTAGTTGTAACTGAAGTATTATTGAACACGTATAGTATATGAGACATTTTGGTTGATATACTATATATGGTCTATATAAGTAGAAGGCCTACATTAAAATACACCTGTAGCTATATACAATAAATATACACTATATCTGAATGGATAATGGATCTCTGTGTATATATTAACGATAAAAATAATTGTTCATTATTTGCATGACTAAAGTTTCAATTAAAATATGACCTATATTATACCGGCGTAATTAAAATATGCTGGTTTTTAATCCAAGTGGTTTTGATGTCAAAGGTCAGCTTTGAGATAGAGACACTGTATCCGTATGCATAGGCGTGAGGGTCAGGTAGGAGTGGGTTATGGATTGCTGACACTTTCTTGGTTAAGCTGTCAACGATTTGGCTAGGCTGACATTTACTTGGCTAGGCTGACATTTACTTGGCTAGGCTGACACTAACTTGGCTAGGTTGACACTTACTTGGCTAGGCTGACCCTTGGCTAGGCTAACACTTACTAAGCTAGGCTGATACGTACTTGTCTAGGCTGACACTGGGCTAGGCCGACACTAATCTAGGTTGGCATTTGCTTGGCTTGGCTGACACTTATTCTGCAAAGCTGACACTTCGCTTGGCTGACACATACGTGGCTAGGTTGGCATTTGCTTGTCTAGGCCAGCAGTTACTATACTAGGCTGACATTTACTTTGCTAGGCTGTCACTTACATGGCTAGACTGACATTAACTTAGCTAGGCTGACACTTGACTAGGCTGACACTAACGTTTCTAGGCTGACTCTAAGCTAGGTTGGCATTCACTTGGCTAGGCAGACAGCATAAGAGATTCGACCTGATCCAAGATAAAATTCTTGGCATTTACCTTCCTTACAACCCAAATCATTTCAGTGAGGTGGATACACCAACAAATTCCGCTCTCTGGAATGCATGAAGAGGATAATGTTGATGTATTCCATTCAATATTACAGATTCCTGCATGTCTGATTCCTGAAAGTAAACAGACCGATTCCGTTTCCAACATTAATCAATAGATCAGAGTTTTATCTGGAATTGTTTCATGCATGCCAACTTGTTTACTTTCGCCACTTCAATGTCTTTGCTCTCTGTAGCGTATTTTAAAGTATCTATAAGCAAAATTGGAATAATGGACATTCATGTCTCTGATGTAGGAAGTATGCAAGAAATTGAATATGCGTGTCTCATTTATTGGTCCCTTAAGATACGGGGACGAATTTCGTTTTAGTTTTCTGAAACTCTTTTCGGTTTTCTGAAGCGGACTCTTATGACTTTTCTAATGATTAATCTTTTCAGTTTTCTGATGTCAACTCTTAATGGTTTTCTGAAACTGACTCTCGTTCCGGTTTTTCTGAAGCTGACTCTTTTTGGTTTCGGAATCTGACTCTTGTCGGTTTTCTGAAGCTGACTCTTTTTGGTTTAGGAGGCTGACACTTTTCAGTTTTCTGAAGCTGACTCTATTTGGTTTCTGAAGCTGACTTTTGTCGGTTTTCTGAAGCTGACTCTTTTTGGGTTTTCTGAATCTGACTCTTTTGGGTTTCCTGAAGGTAACTTTTTTCGGTTGTCTAGAGGTTACTTTTTTCGGTTGTCTGAAGCTGACTCTACAATTCTGCTCTGTTTGCTAAGTCTGTCTCTATCTCTAAGCCTCACATCTTTTCTAGACAGTTACCAGTAATAGCTAGCTAGAAAATGCTACAAATTGGGTGCAGAAAAGCTAGAACTTCTAGGAGCTGCACCAAATCAGTACATCAAGGACGCATCAATGGCCTTAAAATTGTGCTGTTTCATTGTCAATAGACCACTATTGTCACCAAAATAACGGTACTTGGCTGTCCCCTCGACATACCACAACTCTGTACAATAATAACATATCTTTTTGTGATTTCAGCCATCGAAATTATGATAATGATAAACCGTTGAACAAATATTTTGCCTCAAGCAATGTTCAAATGGTGAAGGCTCAACATATATTTTAGTGTAAGAGTAAATAAACGTCGCGGAAAAAACATTTCATTGAAGTGATTATTGAGTTTACCAAGTGCTTTCTTCCCCCGGAGGAATGTGTTTTTTTTTCGCCAGTCATAGGTTCAAAGGTGACACCTATACACTTACGTCAGAGTTTAATATATGAGCTGGCATGGCACTTAAACAAACCCATATTTGACTCATTTTGAACTTAATGTTATACTTAGAGAAACGGAAGAATATACAAAGATGGCAAATCAAATTCGGTTCTGAGATTCTGCTGATTAGCTGAAATATGACAAAAGCTCTTGGCATTGAAATTTCCAAACTTATGCGATGGGTCGGCTGGAATGATTAGTTGACAACCTACTGAGTTACAAATTTTTATTACAAGACTCAATGCAAAGACTCTTTTCGTTTGTATATTTTAATATAATTGTTAAGCATATGCAACACTGTGGAGAGATCTTTAACGTTCATACCCTGTAGCACACGAGGCCCCCCCCCCCCCCCCCCCCCAACCAGCATCACCGACAGAAAACCTTTAAAGGCTTGGCTGTCATCATCCATTGACAGACAACAGAAATCCCTTTTCAAAAACTCTTTAAATGTCACTTCATTTGGATTTACGAGATCAATTTTCAATAACGTAACTTTAATGAAGTAAGGGGGCCAGTAAACCTGTTAATAACACAAAATAAAAGGGGTGTAATGAAAAACCCAATTAATATTGTTATAAGAATCCTATTGAAGGTCAACTAGCCATAGAATATGGCCCCTAGGGGTTAATATTATCCCCCTTTTCATTGACTTCTTATCGTATTTAACTTTATAAAGGGATTTGAATGCTGATTATTCAATATTTGTTAATGATATTATCGGCATCATTTCCGCCATTGTTCGCTACTTTCCGTGATATAATCGATCACATACGTAATCTTTCAAAAATTCCATGGTAAAAGAAAATATATGGCCTTTCCCTTGACTGTTTGTGATGCAAGGATACTGCTTTAGAAGCAATTCATTTGAAAATCCAAGCTGCAGGTTTTTAGTAAAATCGGATGAGATAAAGGCCAACTAGCCAATAGTTCATCATTATATCTTGGGATTTCTATGAGCCCATTATGACTACAGTGAGCATTTCTTCTGAGTTTTAATGTTTGAACGGTGGCACTGGCCTGCATTTATGATCCAGACTTTCTTTACTGAATTGTATATAGTTGCCTTCTGTATTCTGTTATGCCAATCTATTTTGATTTCAGATCACTTGTTAGGTTTGACGGGATAACAATAATCTTACTGTAATAATGTTTTTCGAATTAAGAATCCAGACAATTGAATTCATATTAATGACGATAAAGCATAATTCCCTCGCGTGACAATAATCCTGGATTCTTTGAGCCTTAGCCGACAAAGCAGATCATATATGGACGCATTGAGAAGGGATTATTTGTAAATCTTGCGATAATCTGACCGTTAATCCGCCAGATACCAATTAATACAAGTTGTTAGGCTTCTTCGACAAATTTGACAATTTTGGCTATAAATATATCTCAGATCGCCTGGCCAGATGGACGTAAAACACCACCTTAATTCAGCTCACGTGTGTAACTCATATACACAGCCTTTTAATATCTGTCATGCTATCTCATATACCTACGCATTGCTATATAGCTTCGTCACAAGGGAAATTCTTATTATCCTAGACATGAAACGTATCCCACAGTGTGAATACCAAAGTAATAAAACATTTAAAAAAAATAAAGTTAAGTTTTCTATGTGTGATCTACATTTACATATTTAGATATTGTATATATAGTTGGTTAGATGCATACTTCAAATATTGTTATATCTTTTTCTATGTTTA